GAAGGACGAAGGACGAGGGGAGTGGAAGGACCTCAATGGAACAGCGAACTCCAGTGGAAATGCCACAAAATACAAACCCGAAACGTGGGAGACAAACACGCATTTCGGTTCATTAACCAAACCCAACAAAAGGAAGCAAAAGGACGAGATAGTCAGGATTGGGGAATGGGGGAAAACACTAGTAGCAAACGGAAACAAAACAAGATAGACTGCTATAGTCGAGTTCCCCGACTATCAGATACCCATTACTCAGCTATTTAGAGAATTGCTCATCATACAATTTCTCAATGCATATCATAACATCAGAAAAGTTACAAAAAAAATTAAAAAAAAAAAAATTTCCAATTTGAATGCAAATTTTTAGAGAATTGCTCCAGAAACATTTAGAGGTATGCCACTTCAAATTCCGATTAGGATAGGTTGAGTTATGGGCTTCAGAACTTCAGTCTTGGGTCATTTTTGAATTTCTAACATCAGAAAAATTACAAAAAAATGAAAAAAAAATAAAATTCCAAATTTGAATGCAGATTGTTAGAGAATTGCTCCAGAAACATTTAGAGGTATGCCACTTCAAATTCCGATTAGGATAGGTTGAGTTATGGGCTTCAGAACTTCAGTCTTGGGTCATTTTTGAATTTCTAACATCAGAAAAATTACAAAAAAATGAAAAAAAAATAAAATTCCAAATTTGAATGCAGTTTGTTAGAGAATTGCTCCAGAAACATTTAGAGGTATGCCACTTCAAATTCCGATTAGGATAGGTTGAGTTATGGGCTTCAGAACTTCAGTCTTGGGTCATTTTTGAATTTCTAACATCAGAAAAATTACAAAAAAATGAAAAAAAAATAAAATTCCAAATTTGAATGCAGATTGTTAGAGAATTGCTCCAGAAACATTTAGAGGTATGCCACTTCAAATTCCGATTAGGATAGGTTGAGTTATGGGCTTCAGAACTTCAGTCTTGGGTCATTTTTGAATTTCTAACATCAGAAAAATTACAAAAAAATGAAAAAAAAATAAAATTCCAAATTTGAATGCAGATTGTTAGAGAATTGCTCCAGAAACATTTAGAGGTATGCCACTTCAAATTCCTATTAGGATAGGTTGAGTTATGGGCTTCAGAACTTCAGTCTTGGGTCATTTTTGAATTTCTAACATCAGAAAAATTACAAAAAAATGAAAAAAAAATAAAATTCCAAATTTGAATGCAGATTGTTAGAGAATTGCTCCAGAAACATTTAGAGGTATGCCACTTCAAATTCCGATTAGGATAGGTTGAGTTATGGGCTTCAGAACTTCAGTCTTGGGTCATTTTTGAATTTCTAACATCAGAAAAATTACAAAAAAATGAAAAAAAAATAAAATTCCAAATTTGAATGCAGATTGTTAGAGAATTGCTCCAGAAACATTTAGAGGTATGCCACTTCAAATTCCGATTAGGATAGGTTGAGTTATGGGCTTCAGAACTTCAGTCTTGGGTCATTTTTGAATTTCTAACATCAGAAAAATTACAAAAAAATGAAAAAAAAATAAAATTCCAAATTTGAATGCAGATTGTTAGAGAATTGCTCCAGAAACATTTAGAGGTATGCCACTTCAAATTCCGATTAGGATAGGTTGAGTTATGGGCTTCAGAACTTCAGTCTTGGGTCATTTTTGAATTTCTAACATCAGAAAAATTACAAAAAAATGAAAAAAAAATAAAATTTCAAATTTGAATGCAGTTTGTTAGAGAATTGCTCCAGAAACATTTAGAGGTATGCCACTTAAAATTCCGATTAGGATAGGTTGAGTTATGGGCTTCAGAACTTCAGTCTTGGGTCATTTTTGAATTTCTAACATCAGAAAAATTACAAAAAAATGAAAAAAAAATAAAATTCCAAATTTGAATGCAGATTGTTAGAGAATTGCTCCAGAAACATTTAGAGGTATGCCACTTCAAATTCCGATTAGGATAGGTTGAGTTATGGGCTTCAGAACTTCAGTCTTGGGTCATTTTTGAATTTCTAACATCAGAAAAATTACAAAAAAATGAAAAAAAAATAAAATTCCAAATTTGAATGCAGATTGTTAGAGAATTGCTCCAGAAACATTTAGAGGTATGCCACTTCAAATTCCGATTAGGATAGGTTGAGTTATGGGCTTCAGAACTTCAGTCTTGGGTCATTTTTGAATTTCTAACATCAGAAAAATTACAAAAAAATGAAAAAAAAATAAAATTTCAAATTTGAATGCAGTTTGTTAGAGAATTGCTCCAGAAACATTTAGAGGTATGCCACTTAAAATTCCGATTAGGATAGGTTGAGTTATGGGCTTCAGAACTTCAGTCTTGGGTCATTTTTGAATTTCTAACATCAGAAAAATTACAAAAAAATGAAAAAAAAATAAAATTCCAAATTTGAATGCAGATTGTTAGAGAATTGCTCCAGAAACATTTAGAGGTATGCCACTTCAAATTCCGATTAGGATAGGTTGAGTTATGGGCTTCAGAACTTCAGTCTTGGGTCATTTTTGAATTTCTAACATCAGAAAAATTACAAAAAAATGAAAAAAAAATAAAATTCCAAATTTGAATGCAGATTGTTAGAGAATTGCTCCAGAAACATTTAGAGGTATGCCACTTCAAATTCCGATTAGGATAGGTTGAGTTATGGGCTTCAGAACTTCAGTCTTGGGTCATTTTTGAATTTCTAACATCAGAAAAATTACAAAAAAATGAAAAAAAAATAAAATTCAAAATTTGAATGCAGATTGTTAGAGAATTGCTCCAGAAACATTTAGAGGTATGCCACTTCAAATTCCGATTAGGATAGGTTGAGTTATGGGCTTCAGAACTTCAGTCTTGGGTCATTTTTGAATTTCTAACATCAGAAAAATTACAAAAAAATGAAAAAAAAATAAAATTTCAAATTTGAATGCAGTTTGTTAGAGAATTGCTCCAGAAACATTTAGAGGTATGCCACTTAAAATTCCGATTAGGATAGGTTGAGTTATGGGCTTCAGAACTTCAGTCTTGGGTCATTTTTGAATTTCTAACATCAGAAAAATTACAAAAAAATGAAAAAAAAATAAAATTCCAAATTTAAATGCAGTTTATTAGAGAATTGCTCCAGAAACATTTAGAGGTATGCCACTTCAAATTCCGATTAGGATAGGTTGAGTTATGGGCTTCAGAACTTCAGTCTTGGGTCATTTTTGAATTTCTAACATCAGAAAAATTACAAAAAAATGAAAAAAAAATAAAATTCCAAATTTGAATGCAGATTGTTAGAGAATTGCTCCAGAAACATTTAGAGGTATGCCACTTCAAATTCCGATTAGGATAGGTTGAGTTATGGGCTTCAGAACTTCAGTGTTGGGTCATTTTTGAATTTCTACAACATCATAACACCAGGAAAATGACAAAAAAATATAGAAAAAAAAATTCCCAAATTTGAATGCAGATTGTTAGAGAATTGCTCCAGAAACATTTAGAGGTATGCCACTTCAAATTCCGATTAGGATAGGTTGAGTTATGGGCTTTAGTTCGTGCGGACATGGCCAGATCGACTCGGCTATTGATCCTGATCAAGAATATATACGTTTCCTTCTGGCTGTTACATACTTTTCAACGAATCTAGTATACCCCTTTACTCTACGAGTAATGGGTATAATTACCAGCGAGCAAATAAAATGTCGTCGAGGGTTTGACGCAGCCTTCAACTCCAGTGATAAGCTGAAAGGGGTTGCAAAGGGGGCTTAGCCACCTAAAAGGGGAGGGGAGTTTCGGGGGGCAAGGACCTGGCTGAAGGATGAGCTTCGGTCGCTTATTGTGTGCAGCTTGCAACGTTTCCTCCTTTTATTAGTTCCGCGCTTATCCACCATTTTGGCAGTCGTTATTCGGCTGATTACGGGCAAGGACACGCTGCATCCACAGCTGCAGAATGCTATATACCTGCTATATATAGTAGATATGGATCTGGAGCTGGAGATGGTGGTGGAGGCGCAGATGGATCTGGTGGTGGGGCGTTGATGTGCTGTAACCCCCTTTCTGCATTTTTACAACGCGCGCACAACAAAGTGTTGCGGCAATCGAAGGTGTGGAAGTCGCAGATTGCCAGCTAAAAGTAATCCCTTGCACTGAAAAAATCAATATAAGCTTATGTCAGTGGCCAGTATTGCACAGATACCTGCATACCTACCATTTTCCCAGTAATTGGCTTTCAACATACTTTTCTCGCCGTGCACTTTATGGCGCTGCGCAGCGCGCTGTGCTTTGTATCTGTATCTCCATCTGGGTATCCCTATCTCCATTTGTATCTCTCGCTTCAGCTGTGGGTCATTAGTGCGCTGGAGCTGCGTAGTTTGCCCCGGTTCGTCCGCTGGCTTCTTGTTCATTTTCTCATTAGTGAGTCAATACACGCAGCACGTTTTGTCCCCACATTGTTACGTCGGACACTTGCCCCATGGGATGTGCACCGTATCCTTGTGCGATGCAGGACACAAGGATCTAAGCAGGGAAAAAGGGAAAAACAGACGCACATGCGAGCTGGTGCCCCCCAGAGAGTTGTTTAAGATGCGTTGCAACGCACTTTCGCACTTTGCTGACTGCTGACTGCAACTCGTGCAGCTGTCTATCCATGGCCAAGATATCCGCTGTTCCCACCAACCGACTGACTGACATACTCACCCGTGCCCCCCAACACACCCCTTTGGGGAGCAAAGGATTCCGGGGCCATGATCCGAAAATGTAAAGTGTAAACTTTTTGCCAGTTGTTTGCTGAACTGAACTGAACTGAACTGGCACTGCACTTTGTCTTCCTGCTTGGCTGGCCATCGCCATCGCCATCGCCATCAAGTGTGGCAACTCATGGCATTTACAGCCCTGCGAGCAATCCTTAAACATCCCCATCAGTCCCCAGGAGGACCACAAATCCGCAAATCTGCAAATCCGCAAAGATGCCCTTAGTGCCCGCTCTGAAATTTAAATAAGACAAAGTCATCGCCAGAGTTCCGTCTTAGTTGTCGCTTTTTAATCTCCTTGCGTAGTTTGTATATGGTAGTTACAGTATAGTACACTCAATATATAAATCTAGGTTTGCCGTTTGCACTTGCAGCTTAGCCTAGGCTGCGTGGCAATCAATTGAGTTTACAATCTTGCTCGGAGCTTAAGGATAATGCTTAAGGATAATGCATTTACATGTACACTTAGACTAGACATGCTTGCACACCGATACACCGATACACCGATACAGACACAACGAGGACTCTATGAGCTATGTATGTCACTTATGCGCTACCATATTCAATATTAATAATTGCCATTTGTTTGGAATTCCTCATTCTCCGCTTTCCCCTGGCCAGCAGCCATTCCGCTTTGTTTGTTTTTTGAAAACAATGAGCAACATTTTTCCATGGTTTGTTCCCACTCATCCATTAAACTGACGTCTCGCCATTGTTATTAGTTTTCCGCACAAAAACCCCATTCTCGTGCTCGATTTATTCGCCGACCCTGGGGGCGGGGCAATCAATCCTAATTGCACACATTAATTATTGCAAAATCGGAATCGGAATCGGAATCGGAGGAGCTTAGCCATCATAAGCATACATGTAGTGGTACCGAAATGGAAGGGCGAGCCTTTTGAGGGATTAATTCATTAAGCTGCCGCAATTTCCGAACTTTCGGCTGTCTGAAGCACAATTAAAATGCAGCCTATGCATATTGCTATATTGGATATACATATGTACGAGTATGTAGTTCAAAGAACATAGTAGAGGATGGGCAGATAATTAGCCAACAACTGCAGTGATTATGACTTTGTACTTGGACCTCCTACGACTGGGAACTGGTCTTGAAGCCTGTTTGCCTGATTGTTCGAGTCCTTAACTTGGTATAAATTCATATTGCACCCGTAGAATTTCATTTGATAACGAACAAGCAAGTTTCGAGTAACAGAAAAGCTAGTTGAGCGACAGAGGAGTCAAAGTAAAGCTATGTACATTCGCATAGTATCTTCTTGGATTTCACAGAGTCAGGTACTTGGACAGGTTGAAGACGTAGCTTTCAATTCAATTGCTAGACGTTTGGGACATTTACAGAACGGATTCACAGAACAAACATTTACATAATGGAAGATCTAAGATATGAGAGCTAACAGTTACACTAATCCCACTATGCAACCACTGCAACCCGGTGGTAAGGAGCCGATGTAGGGGGGCTTTCCTGTTGCATAGTGTTCTATCACCGATCGATAAGCTAATGAGTGGCTAGGCGAGTCTAGATTGCTATGTACACACTTCGGATGGGCTGCCCATGGGGTGGCGGCACTCAATGGATACTTCTAGGCCAATTGCAATTCGGTTTGAGCTGTGCTATTGATTCGCTTGAAGGTAAAACTAGCTACACACGCATATCTTTGCTGGCCAAATGATTACTTTTCCTGGTGCACATGGTGCACTTCCTGACTGAAACCTGAAGAGCTGGTGGAACTGGTAGCTATAGGGAATACAAATCTGACTGGCTTAGAAGTGTCCAAAATATTCCGCTCCCATCGACCGCTCCGGATAAACACACCTATGTATATGGTTGTATCTTAAGGCTAATTTCTGGGCTTGTTTCCGTGGTTCTGTTGCTGAGTTTACTTGACCGAGGAGCTGGAGGAACTCGATGCCTCCACGGGCTGGCTCTCCAGTTGGGGCGTGGTCTCCACCAGGGCGAGTCCGATGCTCTCGCTCTCACTGTCGCTGACCTCCTCGTCGTCCTCCACGTCGCCGAGAGTAGTTATTTGGCTCTGGACACTCTGGCACTGCTCCAGGATCCTGTGGGTGGATGTGTTCCTCATCTGGACCTGGTCCTCGCTGGCATCGATGAGCGAGGGCGCCGAGGTGGTGTCCGCTCCGCCCACAGAGCTGATGACTCCGTTCGGAGATCCCAGCGAGGCGTTCGAGCTGCGTAACCGTTTCATGCCCGTCATGGGCATGAAGGACACGTGGTGACCCGACGAGTTCGACGGTCCCGGGGTCAGGGCCTTGAGACTGGGCGCCAGTGGAGTGGTGGCCCCACTCACAGAGCCCCCTGCACTGCCACTGCCACTCAAAGTGGGCGGCACCGAGGCGATCGTTAGGGTGGACACCGAGGAAGGACGTCCGCCGACGCCCAAGTGCAGGGAACTGGCCGAGGCAGCCGCCACCGGAGGCGCACTGATGGTGACTATGGTCTTGGCCAGGGCGCTGTTCACCGCCGTGGTGGAGTTGTAGTCGCCGCGCAACTGCATCCCCGAGCTGCGGCGCCTGGAGCGGTGGTGGTGGCGGTGGAAGCTCTGGCATCTGGTGCAGGATCGCTGCGAGGACGAGGGCGTGGCCGTGCCCGAGGAGTGGTGCTGGTGGTGGGCGGACCGCGATCCGCCGCAGTTGCTGCCCCCGCTGCAGGTGCTGCAACTGCTCAGCTGCCGTCACATGAGCGTCCGGTCGATCTGGTTCACCGAGTGGTAGCCGAAGGAGGTGGAGGCGGCCACCATTGCAGCGGCCACGTGACACTGTGAGAAAAAACGGGGGAGCAGGGCACGAAAAGCAGTGATAATGTGTACAATACAAATAATGAAAACATATTAAAGGCATTTTGGTTTAAAATTAATTGATTAGAATGAATAACAAAGTTAAACAAGAGTGCAGACGTCAAGATGTAGAACAGAAAAGTTTGAAATAACAAACAAATGCCGAAGTAATCCGAATAAAGTTGAAAAGTAAGCAGGAAAACAAGCAACAATTCGATTCAGTAAAGTTAAAAAACAATACGGTGTGAAAGAGACAGGGACAGAGACAGAGAGGGGTGAAAGAGTAGAAAGGCGAGAAAAAGCGTTTAATTAACATTTTGTTGTCTTATTTCGTTTCGAGTGTTTGCATACAATTTGCAGGCAGTGTTTCCGGAAAAGTTCGGGTGTTATTCTCTTCTTTTTCTGTGGAGTGTGGCTGTAAACAAAATTGCCGTTTCAACGCAGCAGCAGCAACGGCAGCAGCAACAGCAAAGCAACAAAGTGAAACGACAACAACAACAATGCACAGCCAGAGCAACAATAACAACAACACCAGGTGGGTGGTGGATGGCGGTGAAAAACGAAGGGGGGGGAGCGACACAACAACAACAACAACAACAACAGCAATAAGAATAGAGACGAAACCCGTTGCGGCTTTTCCGGGCAGATTTCCCCTTGATTTCAACCATTTCAACCATTTTTCCCAGGCTTTTCCTCTCTTCTTTTTTGGGTGCAGTAAAAGTCAAAGTAAAATGCATGATTGAAAACAGCAAAACAATAAAAGAGTGGGTGGAAAAACTAGGAAAAGAGCAACAACAAGCAGCCATAGCAACAACAAAAGAGCGGCAAAATGGGCAAAGAAAAGCGGTAGCTGAAATTCCAATTTCTGGTTTTCAGTTTCTTTTGGCTTTCTTCATTTTTTTTTTTTTTGAGGGGCTGAGAATAAAAACAGTAACAACAACATTATCAAAAATGTGTGAGTGTGCGTGTGTGGTATTTTTGGGGGGAAATTCCAAGGGCTTTCCCATCCTCCAAGTGCTTTGCTCCCAGCCCCGTTTCACCTTAAGCCAAACCAACAAAAAACCCATCATCTTCGGTCGCCCAATTCAATTACAGGCTCACAGGCACCTCCTTCTCCTTCAGGCCGCTTAAAATTCTAAAATCCCTCGCCCATTTGCATTGCGTATACGCCGAGTGGCCCGTCGCCCGTCGCCCTTCGTCCTTCGCATTGCGGTCGCAATTAGCTTAAATAATTGAAGAGCCTGACCGGATAGCCCGCTTAGCAGACGCCCCAGGCCAACTGGGTAATTTGCAATTTTTATAGCCCCCCGGCGATGTCGAAAATAAAAAAAAAAAACAGCAGGGAGGCAGATAATCACTTGAGTTAGTTTTGCCCGATATGATCTACTCCGTGTGAGGTGGGACCTATGGCGTCTGCAAAGTCCATGTGATTTCAAGTAAAAATAATAATTTACACTTATTACTTGATATTTGAAATCAGAAGAGTGCCCATTTCTAATCCTGTTCAGTAACTAAATTTAAATGCCTGCTTTATAGCCGGCTTATCTAGACTTATCACCTAGAGCACTTTTATCATAACACTTTAATGACTCATTAGGGCGGGTCACCCAAAAAGGACCTTTCGTGCGGCTCCGCCAAAAGGTCAATAGCACCGTGGAGCTCCAAGTGGGCTGTTTCGCGCACGAACTTGTCGCGGCCACGCCCCTTTGGCTAATTTATTGCCCGGCACTCGATAACCACTCCGGGGTCCTGGGAGCCACAGGATCCCGACTTGGGCCGAGCTCAAAGTTTCGCCAGAGGCTAAGCTGCAGGGGCACCCAATCCCGCCTGCTTAACGGCGACCTTGTCGGCTGACAGTCACAAAATGCCCGATTGCCAGGACCTCATTTCACGGCCCCCTTTGGATCCTGGGCAGGACATTAAAAGTTACATGGCTGCCTACGAGAATTCGCACGGACTGGAGCTCGGACTTCCGCTCCAGCGACTCTGTCACATAATTATAAACGTTAATTTCACGTTCACAGTCAATTAGGGATAATTGATGTTTGCGCAACATTTGTGGTAAATTACATTTTGATGTTCGTCCTGCCCGAGAAATGAGCCATTATCGAAGCCATGTATTCGGAATGTATTTGTATACACGTATATAAGGCACCCGATTATTGTTACATTTAGTGCGCCTCAGTTCGTTTCGGTGGCATGAAATTGGTTTGATTAATCGGTTAAGCAATTTCGATTTCGAATTCAATTTGGACCGCTTCGCATAAATAGCACAAAGCCTTGGCCAATAATTGATGCAATTAGCAGCGATTATAGCAGCAGCATTTTAGCAAAAGCAGCAGTGCCAGCCACAAGGAGCAAAGTATATTTATCAAGGATTGATTAAAGTACGTGCTATTTCCCGTCACTTTTCGCTACTCGAAGGCCCCGAAACGAAGCAGCTCCGAGGATGTGGCAGTTGGCCTCCGGCTGGCCAGTGGTTTCCTCTGCAAACAGTCAGAAGCACAAATTCCATGGTTTACAAGCTGCCAAATTTATGCTAAACAGTCTCAGCTGCAAATGTGTGTGTGTGTGTGGCTCCGATTTGTGTGTATGTCTGGCTGGCATTTTCAATCAAAACATCTTGTTGCGCTCAAGTGCACAGGGAGAATTCAGCACCGCCTCTTAGGTATTATATTCGTCATAGAAAATTCGTTTCTTCTAACAACAATGTCAAAGTTATAATGAGAAGTTGGCTCAGATTTTACAAGTAATTTCCCAAAGCGAGTTTATTGAATATGAAATCAGTGGAAATGGCGTAAACGATACTTTACTTTATGGCATTTAAATGTCGTAATGAGATGCCGCAAGTATAATTTTCATGCGTAAAACGATCTCTGGTTGACCTTTCTGCGATTTTCTCCACGTGCACGCCCACCAAAGATGCCAGTCGAAATGGGATGCAAATTGGCCCTGGCGGGCAGAATGCGCTTATGTGTGTGTGCAAGGGTGGGCCTATGGGCGGGTGGGAATCCTTTACGGCTCATTAGGACACCGAGTGGGCGGTCAAGGGCGGGCGCAAATGTCAGGCGGCCCACAGACGACAGTCGGCGATTAATCGGCGTGTTGAGGGCGCATGTGGAAGTGTGGGCGGTGGTGGCATTAAAGTTGAATGGAACTCGTGTAAAGTTAATTTTTAAGTGCCGAAATGGGACTACCGACTGCCAGTGCCCAGTGCCCAGTGCCCAGTGCCCAGTGTCCAGTGCCACACAGACAGCTGCAACTTGCGGCCGACCGCAATGTGCTTGAGGTGGCACAAAGATGGCCAACAGGGCGGCAGGCAAGTGCCGGACTTTTGAGGGCGGAAATCGAGTCCTTTCGGTCAGGCAGCTAACCACACATCTGCAATATCCTCATTTGAGCAAAGCCATTTCCACTTGCCGTAGAGCGGGCAAATTGCGGCTGCCGGAAGTCGCCTCATTTGTCGGGCAAAGGGCAGGTCCTTCCTGAGCTAAGGATTTGCCATAAATTATACAAATCGCAAGCAGTTAGCAAGGTCAGAAGTGTCGGGTGTTTGATAAGTTTGCTTTAATCTTTTAAATTTGCCTTGTACAACGGGTCGTATGCGTATTATCCTCCTCGCTATCTGTTTTCTTCTTCAATTCTGGGCTAATCTCCCTACTGCCCATTTCCACAGCTCCCTGGTGAGTCATAACCCTCTTTAGTTAAATTAAAGATTTTCGATAGAAGTTTCTATTAAATTAAGTGCTTCTTGTTGATTTATATTTGGCATTTAGTGTTCTGGGCAACCGCTCTGCAAGCGGCAGGCAAACTTATAAAGTCCGCAATCTTAATCCTTTGACAATCAATTCGCTTTTCGTGTTGTGCGATCCAGTAAGCTTTAAATCCCTTTATGTTTTATTGAAGAACCAAGCTGAATGCCGGTAAATGCCTGCATTTTATACCAGAATTATTTTAAGCTATCCCGCCCATTGAACGGAATTAAGCAACACCAAGTTTGAATGCTTCAAGTGTCGACTCAGTCGTGCTCGAAACTTCACATCCGCGTTCCTTGAATTGGCAGTGGAAGCACTTGGCAAATAAATTGGCATGCTCTTGGGTGTAATTGATATGATGACAGACACATCGCAGAAGAAAACCCCCAAATCGAAAGAAGCGGATGCGGAAAGGCATTCGCATTCGCATCCGCATCCGCATCCGCATCCGCATCCTTATCCCTACACCCACACAGCTACACCCGCACTACCACCGAGGCCAGACACATATTGGCTGTTGATTGCTGTAAATAACATTTTCATCAATACAATTACATGTGGTGTGTGGTGTGTGCGAGTGTGCGGGTTGTGTTCGCTTGTCGGCTGGCGAAAATTGAGTTGGAAATTTTTAAGTGCAAGAAATGTTTATGGTTCACTTGATAACACTTCTCAAGTATCGGTTGTGCGTGACTCCTTTGCGGGTTTTTCCGCCCTTCGGTGGGGGAAGTGCGGAAAACTGCGCAGGGAAGGTCAGGAGCCTGGCCAGTAAGTATTGATCCAAGAAATAAACAACAAACTGAAAATGTGAAACCCTTTCTTCTTGGTCATAAATCGCAGGAAAAAGATGGCTGAAACTCCACATACATTTTAGAACTTTTAAAACTAAGAGCTATTTTAGCTGAACCTTTTCGAATGAGCCTTTCATCTAATAAGTTGTTTAGGGCAGTCAGTCGAAAAGTCTTGCAGTAATGAGTGTCAAAAGTGATAAGAATATAAAACATATACAAATAATAATAAAAGTACAGCCAATGATTGATTTTCCTTCTAAAGATCTTAAATTTTTCCATAGATTTGCAGTACTTAGGTTTTTCCACAACAAGTGTCCGTGTCTCTTAAAGCCGATCCACTCTATACTTAGGCTTTTTCATCTGCTTTCCCGAATCACATAAACCATTTTTCCTCCGCCACAAACGAGTATAAAAAGATCAACAAACATTTTATGAGTGGGGCTGGTGTTTCGGTTTTTCTTGTTTCGTCATTGTGTACACTGGGAAAATCTTTTGTGAGGGGCGACAGCAACAGTAGCGACAACATCAACAGAGGCAGGAACATGGAGAGAAAAAACAGCAACAGGAAACGGTGACAAAAACGTTGAAAGGACATAGTGTCCTGCAGTGTGCAAGAGTGTGTGTGTGAGTGCCCAGAGACTTTGTGGAAACTTTCGTTTATTCTTTTCTTTGTTTGTGCTCTTTTCATTTTCATTCAGCTTGTCTGCAACAACACACAAAAAACAACATCATCAAACAGAGAAGGGCTCAGGTGTTGGTGCCCAGGGACTTTTTGCGTGGGTGGACATCTTTGTCAGTGTCCCCGTGTGTGTGTGTGTGTGTGCTTGTGAGTGAGTGTGTGTGAGGGTGCAACACATTCAACAGGTGCTTGAATCAGAGTCTGTTTTCGCAGCAAGGTAAGCAAATCAAGAAAACATACATAAGAGGGTGTTCCCGAAATCTCTAGAGCCCTTAAATCGTGCGAGTTTTTAGGGCTGCGCATAAATATGATTGCATGTAAACTAATCTTTCATAGCATACTTTGCAGCGCCCAAAATCTCCGGAGATTTCGAGAACACGCCAGAGTGAAACGGAAACAAGGACACAAACAACAATGCCATCCTGTCAACAAATAGGAGTGAGTGAGACGGCGCAGCCACACACAGATGCAGCTACCGAAGCACGCAGACAGGATGCTCGTGCTTAAAGTCCTTTGCCTTTCAAAGGACAACAGACACACAGACGGAGAACAGAGAGAGAGAGAGAGTCGCAGGACACAGACACAGAGTCACAGCTCGCTTACCTTGCCATTGACTTACGGACAAATGGAGGGCGCTAGGGGGCGTGGCTGGGCGCCTTAATCATTGTCAACTAAATCTACGCTAAACTATATGTAAGTCTGCTCGCAGGAGTTGTGCCGCACGTGCTGAATGCCGTGCAGCGAGCAGGTCGAGTAGCAGCGCCGCGTCGCGAATCTCTGCAAAATCAAGAACGCCGCCGGAATCACAATCAGCTCGATTCGCCAGACATGGCTATACTACATGCTGTCCATGGGATGGGTTGGGATGGGGAGCCGTGGGGAAACCATAATGACTTTAATGCTGTCGTGACATGAGCTATTTTGGGACAGGCCTCCATTTCGAAACTGGCACTTTAAGCGTTTCTGATGGGTTGCCAAATTGCTTGCCGCACAGTCGAACTTGCACCATTTATTAAACAAAAAGTTGGCCATCAGATGGTATTGAATTTAAAGAAATAACCTAAGCATTTTGCCTTTAAAGTGGTAAAATCACTCATACGCCATGTTGGTTGGCATGCTTTCTTTGCCATGCTGAGAACTCCTTTGGCATTACAATTTATTGAGCACTTTCCCTTGTACAAGTTCGACTGTCATGACTTTGGTGTAATTACTTAGGGCTGCTATTGACAGTGGGTCCTTGGAGGACGACAATGGATCTCTCCGTCGGCAAACAGTGGGTGCAACGCTCTTTTGGTCCCATTCAACCCGCGGCAACGCACCCAGGTGCAGCCAGAGTTGCCAAACATTAGAAAATTATTCATTAAAATCACGCAGAGGGGCGAGGGTCGCGGGTCGAGGGTCGACAGGTTGAGTGATGCGCCCGGATGATTTATGCAGGATTGGGGTGAGGATGTCGTTGGGTGAGGATGAATCTGCTGCGGAAGTGAGGGAGTTTTCATGGCTGCCTGCCATGTGTGAACGGAAGTCGTGGCCACCACTGTGGTGGCTCGGGGTTGGGGTGAATGTCAGTTATTTTTTTGCATATTCATTAAATTTGTAAATTAATTTCGCCGTTCGTTGAGTTTCGTTTTTGGAGCATACGAAAGTGGTGCGCGTAATTCATGAAAGCGGTTTTTGTTTGCCCGCCAAAACAGTGGATGCAACAACAAGTCAACCGAGTAGAAAATGCGGAAAACCGCCAAGTTTCCCAATTTCCCAGACCGCAAAAACGATGAGCAGAGTGGAATCGAATCGCCTGGCGGCGGATGAGATTGGCAGTGGATGGAGTGGGTCGTGGAACACTCACCTGCGACTTGGAACGCATCGTGGGCTGGTACTTGCGGCGAATCTTGCGAGGACAGCACATGCACAGCAGACGCACAAAGGCCCTGGAAGAGAAGCCAGTTAGGATCGGGGCCACCAGGGTTAAGCTCGGCACTCGAAAGCCACAAAAACGCAGCCCAAATAAAAATAGCACACAAGACGAGTACTATCAGTGGTTTCGAGGGTCCTCCACCAAAAGTAAACGGAAAATAAATAACTTCGTTCTAGCTTTCATAAATATATATAAGCTTTCATCTGCGGAGCACCAGATAAGCTTAATCCTTGTGAGAACTCTTTGGTATACGTGCACCAACTTTTATTTAATAAAAATGAAAATGTAAAATAAGAAACTGCGTTTTGTGGAGCTGAATGCCACAGTAGAAGGATAACAATAGATGCTCACCTGCGAAAGTCCCTGCTCCAGCAGGCGTAGATCACAGGATTCATGCAGGAGTTGATCCAGCCGAGCCAGGTGACGATTGCCGAGACGATCTCCTCGTGCTCGATGCACTCGATGCAGAATCCGGAGAGCAGGTTGACCACGAAGAAGGGCAGCCAGCAGATGATGAACACGCCCATCACGATGCCCAGCGTCTTTGCCGCCTTCTTCTCCTTGGCGAACTTGGCCAGCTTCCTGGACAGCGAGAAGTTCTTGCCCATGTGCCGATGGCGGGCCAGTCCGTTGTTGTGCAGTGCGGATAGTGGCTCATCATCCGGCTCCTCCGGCGTGGAGGTCGTCGTGCCACCGCCGTGATTGTGATGATGGTGGTGCGAATGGGAGTGCGAGTGGCTGAGTGATCCTCCGCCACCGCCACCGCCGCCTCCTCCTCCGCCACCTCCTCCTCCGGACACCTGATTTTGCTGATCCCGCGTGGTGCCGCCACGATGAATGCGCAACGTGAGCTGCAGCTCCCCGGAGGCCATGAGCACCTGCTTGGTGCCAATCTTCAGAGATCGCGTCTGGATCACGGCTGCCCTGTAGATGCGACAGTAGGTGAACACCATCACCAGCAGCGGCAGGTAGAAGGATATCGTCGACGAGAAGACCAGGTAGCCCAGGTGCTCGGTGAAGGTGCACTTGTAGGCGGGCATCTCGCCATCCCTCGCCGCCCGCCACCACACGATGGCCGGAAAGCTAATGGCACTGGAGCAGATCCAGACGGCGGCTATCAGTCCGGCGGCCCGCTTGACCGTCATCCTCATGGGATAGCTGAAGGGATCCGTGATGGCCCAGTAGCGGTCCAGTGAGATCACGCACAGATTGAGTATGGAGGCGGTGCTGAAGAGCACGTCCAGGGACCGCCAAATGTCGCACCAGTCCGTGCCGAAGAACCACGTGTTCTCCAGCACCTCGTAGAGCGCCGAGAAGGGCATGACCACCAGACCCACCAGGCAGTCGGCCACCGCCAGGCTGGTGATGAAGTAGTTGGTGGCCGTGTGCAAGTACCGCTCCCGGATGACGGCCAGGATGACCAGTGAGTTGCCGAAAACCGTGGCGAAGGAGAACAGGAAGAGGAAGGCCAGCAGGCCCACTCGGTCGTTGGGCAGGGCCTCCAGGAACTCGGACAGATCGGGTTCCGGCGTGGTGGTGCCGCCACCTCCTGCTCCCGCCATCGCCGTACTCAAGGTGGTGCTGGTGGCGGCGGTGGTGGCGTTCAGGACGAGCTCCGTGCTCGTGGGCAAGCCATTGAAGTAGAAGTAGACGTCCTCGGAGATATTGTAGCTGCCGAAGAACGACGGCGAGGGGGAGCGCGTCTGCGTCTGATTGAGCCCGTCCACACGGAGGAGCGCCAGGAGGGGCGCGCCGGCTCCTTCCGCTCCTTCCACTTCCGGCGACGAACCATTGTCCTCCACCATTGCAACTCAGTGCTGTGTCGCTGCAGCTGACGCGAGTCCCTGTTCCAGTTGCTGTTCGAGTTGCTTTTGCTGTTGCTGTTCCTGTTCCAATTTCCCTGGCAGTTGCTGCTCCTGGTCCTTCTGTTGCTCCTGCTGCTGCAGTCGGCGGCTGCCAGCCAAATTAATGAAGCGCATTTTCATGTCCTTCAGCAGGACTCGCCGCCGGGCTGCCAAGCTGTCGACAAAAAAGACGAGAGGCTGGTGAACACAATGCAATCAGGACAACCTTAAGATAAAGTGTGGGCTTTACACTTTTCATGGAGCGGCGAAATAATTTGAGCCACAGTGCCCAACCCCTGAAAATCCCTTTATCATAATCCCGCTGTAAATATTTTATAAATTCAACGCAATGTAAACAGCACATTTTATGTCGTTATGAGTTACCCAACCGAACAGCCAAAATGCAATAATATTATTACTACTAAGTAAATTAATATGAAAACCAATTAAATGTGCTTTGGGCCAAATTGTGGATGTGCAAACTTTAGCATAAAATAATACGTAGACTTTCGAGCAACTTCTAATTTTTATACGTAATCAAGTTGGGATTCTTTTGACAAAAGTTTTCGTCGGTCTAATGAAGCTATTGTAATTGAGTCGCTGGCAGGGCGGGCTATAAATTTCATTCAATTAAAAGGTTGACTTTCGCATCCACAGGTAACCGAGTTAGGCAAATTTCCCGCGCACAAAAGCTAAGCAAACACATTAATTAGAGGATTTTTTGGGGCTCCGCCGCCTGGTTGGAAATCTGGAGGAGAAGCTCACCAGCTTTCAGCTGCTCTCCTGCGCCGCAAAAGGCACGCAATTAATTGGCAAGCAGACACGCCAGCTGGAAAAGAGATCCTGGGGAGTGGAGGGCAGGTCCTTGGGGGGCAAGTGCCACACAAATAAACAAATTAAATTACATTTGGAGTGCCAGGCTTGTTGGCTTGTTGGCAGGAAGTGAAGCGTGCGACCACCAGGACTCGAACTCCAGCTCCCAGCTTCCAGGTCCCAGGTCCCAGTTCCCGGCAGGATGGCTAAGTGGATGCTGCCTTTGTCAACGGCATTTGACAGAGGAAGTCAACAACTGTGCGTCGCATTATTCAAGAGTCCTGGCTCCTGTCGCCGCGAGTTGATTGCTAAGCCCCGTGCTTAATGTAAACAGCTGGCGATGGCGTCTCCATCCAGGACTTCTATTGCACCGAGGTCCTGCATTGAGGTCCTTGGAGCCATCCCCCATTGGCACTCGCCGCCTCTCAGATGGCGCCATTTAACCAGCACGAATTTCGGGTTGGCTTAATCGAATGGAGGTGGGATTGGGAATAGCATAGCTGCTCGGCTTTGAATGTGACTCAATCAAGGATGTGACTCAAGGTTGAACTTTTCTCTTCTATATTTAAGATGGCACTCAAAATCTTAATAATTAAAAGATAAATATCACTGCCAACGTTGCATGATTATGTGTGAAATTGCCTGCTAATTGGCTTACCTCCTCAGCCCAAATTGAACCCTTAAAATGGGCTTAATTCACAAATTTGTGATCCTCTCAGGAGGGCCATATCATTTGTTATTTAGTTACGTTTGTGCCGTTCCGCCGATTATCACCTGTCATCAGCAGGCGTGGAGCTGTGGTGGCTGTAGTCTGCAGCCAATCGAGCGGAGCAGCAGGAAGGACGAAGGACTCGTGCCTTCTGCCTCCTCATTCCTGCCACAACATACCGGCTGCTCATTTCCGGGTCGCGTATGCCATAAATTCAGCTGCCTGCTGCTGTTGGCTTATCTGGAACTCCTGCCCCTCGGTAAACGGGGTCCAGAACAGAAACAGGAGCAGAAACCGAACTTGATCCAAGCCTGACACGTTTATGGTTTATGTTTTCCTTGGCCACATGGCCGCATGGCCAAGTCAAGGCTGAAACAGCGGAGCCAGCGTCTTTGCGCCGTTTTTTGTTCAGCAGCTTAGCACAATTTCCTGGCACATTTCTCACTCGTCCTGGCTAAAAAAGCAAACATTTTTTTCACTTACTCGCCCGCCTGATGAGGCTGTTGATGTGCAGTAAGTCAAAATGGGGAGTTGGCATAAAAACAGGGCAACCGAACGAGAGACACAAAAATATGTGTGCACTGGGCAAACAAATCTACAAATACAGGTATTCTGCACTTGAAAAGGCCGGCTGAAATGCTGAAATGCGGCCAAAAGTTATTTTAACCATTTTCCACCCAGAAATAACCAGTTTTTGTGCAACAACATTGAAAATAATGGTCCAAATACGTATTGTCATACCTCGTTGAACTCGTAATTAAATTCCCAATCGATTGGCATTCAAATTTGGAAAAGTTATTTTTTTGAAAATTTTTGCAAATTTTTGTGATGGTACCCCTTGTAAAAAATGCAAAATTTGACCCAAAAATTATTTTTGTAAAATCGTCCAAAATGCGAAACTAACTAATAATATTGATAATCAGCTGTAAAAAACAGCCATTCTTTTAGCTCTGTGATCAGTTTTAGCCAAGTTATGGCGCAAAAACCGCTGAGAAATATGGAATTTGGAAGTTATTTTCCCAGTGTGAAAGAAATTCATATGAACAAGTGGGCGGTGCCTGCAGCTTTCTGGCATTTTCTCATATTTTTTTTGCGTCTGGGCCGAGAAATTTAATTGAGGCAACCTTTAAGGTTGTTGGTGAAAGTAAAAGCTGGGCAAAGCTGGCCGAAAGCCAAGTCTGGCCTCTATGCAAAATGCTTTCGGCCAGGCCAGCAATTTGTATATGTGTGAAAAACCTTTTGACCCTTTTCAGTTAGCTGCTTGCTGTGTGCGTGCGTGAAAAAGCTAGAAAAGGCAGCGGGGTGGAAATGGTTAAGTCATTGAATGGCCTCATGAAAGTTAAGCAAACGCCCCTGCCGCATTTGTATGCGGGCATACCGAAAATGGCCAGCGAGAGATTTTCCAGGAAAAGCGGTCGGAAAGTCGTGCCCAGCATGCATGCGAATAACCAGTTAGTTGCTTACTTCAACAAGAATTTAATGCGGTGCAGAGTATTTCAATATCGAGCAGTCTGGCCCACAAAATGAATTCCCCGCAATGACATCCATCGAAATGGATTCGGAAACCCAGACGACCCACTGCAGCAGCGACTCACGCCAAATCACGACATAAAATTCTAGATGCTCGTGGCAAAATGTTTGGCATGTACGAGTATCTCTACCGCTGTGACAGCTGCAATAACAGTCTTTGAATTTAAATTGAAGTCAAGAAAACCGAACGGGCAATTCCCGCTGAGCAGCCATCCAATAAAGTGCCAGCCGGCGGCCATTTGTTGAATTTTTATGCGAGCTGTAATTACATGAAGCGATTTTCCATGTCGCATTGTTGCCTATTGAATTATTAAAACTTCCGAGACGAGTCGATGTGTTTATTGAAATTGCCTGCCAACCGGCCCCTAAGAACTGGCTGGGGAAAATGGAAAAGTCTGCCACTACATACAGCCCAACTTCTTGGCTTCGAACTTGGCAAATTGAATTTTGGGCGGCTCGGCAACTTTTTATTCGGCTCAAATTCCACTTAAAGGTGCATACTTCAGCTACTTTTGCTTTTTGATCGTTTGAATAAAATGAGAAATGTGCCAGACACACAGGTGTCTACACACTTTTGGCCGCTCGGAGCTCCCAGACTCCGTGAATAAATATTTAAGCCTGTTTATAAGGCAATGAACTAATAAACTACGATGTCGCGATGTTTCTGGAATTGCCCCGCAAAGTAGGCAACACAATTTTTACGGCCTGACGAGGCACTCCGCTGATGTCAAGTGGGTGCCACGCCCCTCGGGGAAGAGGCCTAATGCCAGAATTTATTGGTGGAGCTGCCATTGTTGTACTCGTCGATAAGGACATGTGCAAGTAGGCGGTATTGGGAACCTGTCCCGACATCCATTAATTTCGTGCACTATCGCCGAACTGGAATCGCTTGGCGGATAGACGAGCAAAGCCGCCGTGACATTGAACAACCTTTTCCTTTTCGCAGCCTTCGCCTCGTATTCAAATTAACTGGTTGGAATAGACTACTATCTTTGGGTCCCAAGTATCAGTATCGGCGGCAGCCACTCAGCCGCTCAGCGGCGATAAATCGCCGCCTAAAGTCTTCAGAATTGCTCCCCGAGCGTTTTTTGGCGCTTTGGGGCTTTTTCCAGGTAAGCCAAGCGAAACAAAGTGAATCGTTCGAGTGGCTCCCCGCCGAGGTCCAAATCTTTGACAATCTTAATGCGAATCCAAGTCAAACACACGCACTCTGGGGAAAAAGCCTGTGTTCCCGACTAACCCGAGCGAGGCGAGGCACTAAAACGACGGTAAATACGGCGAGTTAAGGACTAAGGACTAAGGACTCAGTCAGTCAGTTGGGTTCCGTTTCGGTTGGGTCCACAAATGAAATTTAATCACGCGCGTGTCGAAAACTCTCCGCCATTCAGAGCGCCGATGTTTGCTTTATTTTCAGCTTTGCAACTTGTGTGCCCCCGACCGATTTGATAATGCCTTCTGTATCCCGGCTCCCGGCTCCCGGCTCCTGGCCTTCAAATCCCAGATCCCTCGGTGCCGGCCTGCTTAATTATGTCACAAATATTTACACCGGTGGCAGAGTGTCATGGCACGCGAGGAATCTAGCCGGGGCAAGCAGAAATCAAACGAAACGAAACGAAACACCGGGCGGGGGGTCCTTTGTTTTTCGGTTACTATATACTTTTTGTTCGCTATTCGTGGCAATCAAGGACGAATAAGAATGGCGGCGTGGTGGGCACGAAAGTGGATTCCGTGATAATGGCTGGCATTAATTTGTGGCTCGCACAGACAGCTCGTGAGACGGAATCGACAGCCCAAACTCCGTCCTCGGGATTGGCACCCCGAAAGGCAGCGGCGGCAGGAAACACGCAAATTATCCTTCCTATTCTGCACTCAAAAAATTGCCATGCATTAAAATATGAAAGATCTATACAAATTCTAAATATAGAATACATACAGGATACAGGATTTTCTTAATGGTACACCCATGCGTATACGTAATATATACGTACAGGCCGTACCACTTGGCGTATGCGTAATTCTTCGTATTGCATCCATAAACCCACTAAACATTTCAGTTCTTTAGCAGTAAAAAAAGCGCCTGGCAATCGAAAATCGCACAACTCCATTTTATAGCCCAGCCTTTC